CTTTTTATTTTTCGTTTTACCTTATTTTATAAATTTTACTCTTTATTCTTCATTTTACTCTCCATTTTATGCTCCATTTTATTCTTCATTTTATTCTTCACTTTGTTCTTGATTTTATTCTGATTTTATTCTCCATTTTATTCTTCATTTTATTCTCCATTTTGTTCTTGATTTTATTCTCCATTTTGTTCTCCATTTCATTCTCCATTTTATTCTCGATTTTCTTCATGATTTTCTTCTCCATTTTCTTCTCCATTTTGTTCTTCATTTCATTCTTCATTTCATTCTTCATTTCATTCTTCATTTTATTCTTCATTTTTAGGTTATTTTAATGGGTTTTTTAGGTTGTTTTTAGGTTTTTTGTTTTTGTTTTTTTTAATACCATTTATGTGGGGGAATTCCCCCTCCCCCAGTAAAATATTCTTATGAAAAGTGAGAAATTTGGATTCCTTGAAATATCTCGGGATGATGATGATAATAACTATAAACTATTATTAAATTATTATATTATTATATTAAACGATATTATTCTATTATCCAGGAGCATATTAATTATTAAATATTAATTATTCTAGTAGTATTAATAACAGCTAGGAGGATATTATTAATAATATTTAACATTATTATTATCTATATAATTATATTGCTATATAACGTTGATATATTTATTTAATATTAAATAATAATGATGATGACAGAGGTAAGGGGGCATTTCCCAGGATCTCTGGAGCTGCTGTGACTCTTTTCCCTCCTCTGACTGAAGAACTGAGAGTCAGAGGCTGGAATTGTGTTGTCACAGGGCTGGAAAAAAGCTCAGCATCCCCAGAAAGTGTTCCTGGAGTGACTCCCCATCCCGGGGGTGTCCAAGGCCGGGCTGGATAACCTTGGAGCCCCCTGGGATGGTGGGAGGGGTCCCTGCCTGGGGCAGGGCTGGGAAGATCCCAGAGCTCTTTTCCAACCCGGATGAGCTCTGAGGTCCCCCCAGCCCAACCAGTCTGCGATTCCAGGAGTATTCCCGGAGATCTGAAGGTTAAATTAATGCAGACCAGCCCCGCTGCCGAATCCCGGAGCGTGTGGGCCTGTCCCGCTG